GAAGGTCGAACGGAAAAGTCTGTATTATCAAATGATCAAGGGGTAAAAAAAAAGTATCGCAGGCGAATAAATGTGTTCCCGTCACACGAAGGTTCCACAGTATTTTGTTCGGTGTATTCCTGTTGTGACATGAGTTCTGAGAAAATGGGGAATAGGTGTAAGAAAAATACAGATACCTTAGATTTCTTGTGATACCGTTCAAATATTATTTTTACTAGCTTCCATGGGTAGTCAAATTCTTTAAAAAAAAAAAATAAATAAAACCGACGACAACCAACGCTGATTTCTATACTTTTTATTTTCACGAGAATTACGAAGAATGTTCGCTGATTTTTTCGTTAATTCACCATTTTATTATGCAACTTTTCCCACTAAAATATTTCTTCGAGAACCTTCCCCTTTCAACTTTTTGATCGAGCACAGGCATGGAAAGATTTTCAGAATCAATTCAATACAGTAAATGTATTCGAGAATAATGATGGAATGAAGACCTAATTTTTTCGACAGCAACTAAATTCGAGATAACCATCCACAGTAAATTTGATTTCCAAAATAGAAGCCTGAAAGCACAGAAGAACTCGAATCTCAAATTTCGAAGATAAATGAGCAACCTTATGAGACCCATTAATGAAACTTGAAAAAATTCCAGAAATCATGGATGATCAACAAAACCAAATTTGGAAATGACGCAACTTTTTCGAAAAAAAAAGAATCAAGATATTGAAAAATTCGGGATTCGCTTTTGAGTATGAATGAAAATTTCTAATGAATCCTACGAACCGTCTCTTAGCCTTTTTTTCATTTTTCATTTAAAAAAACATCGAGAAAGTAAGCAGTCATGATATTAGAAATAAACTCCTCAGACATCTCAGGAAATCATCAGCTAGAACAATAAGCGTGTATGACGCAACTTCGGTTAAAAATCACGATAGAAAACAGCCATCTTTCATGCGAAAATCCTGGGTGATTCCAAGGACTAGTTCGTTGTTCAGGCTAATTTTTTTTACGAGAGGCGCCGATACAAATCGATGGATAAAAAAGTAAATTGAAAATTGAAAATGTGCGGCGGTTCGTAACACGAGGTAAGCATTTTTGACTGCGAGACACTCTTTTTACAGGATTTGTTCGTTAATAAAGGCACTCGCTGTGCGATGAAGTAATATTGCATTAGAAAGAGTGTAACAAAACATTTTAAATAAATCATCCTGACTCCCGCTTGATATTCCTTTTCTTTTCAAGATACCGCCCCCCAAGACACTTCTTTGTCGTTGGGTCCTACAATTTCAAGGCAGTCAAAGCAATCAGGTATTTTACCAATCAAATGCGTAAATAATCAACTGTCGCAAATCAAGGATTTCCAGTCAATAGGACGCTTACCTCCGATGATTCATGACACTCGCCACGTGGTACACGATTTCTCCAAGAAGCGAATAATGGCGTATTAATTTACTTTATACACAAGAGTAGCCTCAAATCAAGTCAAGGATATTTTCATCAATATAGCGTTGAAGCCCTGAGGCCAGGGAATGCCCAGCTCAACCAAGTGGAATAGGACGAGGAACTCGACTTGAGCCCTCGCATGTCTTTCCAAGTGTTTCAATCCATGAAAAAATAATGAAAACCATACTATCTTAATACAGCCAAACATTTCTAGGCCAAACTTGGAGGGACCGACACAAACATCGACTTGAAAAGTTTTTAAGTTATGCAAACCATCTTTTTTGCGGAGGAAAAATGAGGAATTATAGGAAGGTAAATTGACATTTTTGGCTTCGAATTGCTAAATAAAAGAAATGACACGATGCTGAACCTGGTGGCAACGGTCACAATTGTCTAATTGGTCACTTACTTCCTTTTGGAAAGAAAAAAGTAAATTTTGTTCAAATCTTCTCCTTCGTGGGCCCCGAAAAATAATAGCCCTAGATTTCGAAAAATTTGAGTTGTATCGGTTTGATCAAGAACGTCATTCTGCTAGAGAATTCAGAAAAGGACTAAACAAAAATCTTGACATAGGCACGTTTGACTCAGCGTGGTCCAACTGTATACCATATTTACGGAAATATAAGCACCCCCCCCCCCTTCTTAAAATTGTTCATGCTCAAAATTAAAATCCCAGTAACAGGAAAATATAAGCATGGATTCACTTCATTGGTGTTCTGACTGTCCAGGAGCCTAAAATGTATTATTAAATTCCGGTTTTCCCAACAACAACAAAATGAAACGAACTGTTTCGAACAACCCTCGCCCTTTCCGTTGAGTCGATAACTCATACATCTCGCTGAAAAAGCTACCAAGAGCTAAAAGCTGCCCATAAGCATCAATTCCAAAATAACCGAATAAAAGAAGTGCGGGATCATTTTTAGGGCAGCAAACAGAGAGATTTCCTGATATAGCCGCATTTTTACGCAAATGGCAAGCGAATACTGTATAAGCACACCACTAGTTCTCCAGCTTCTAAAATTTGAAAAACAGGGGTGCTTAAATTCACTCAAGTACGTTACATCATTCTGGACTCCAGCTAGATCCCCTTTTTCAAATCAAGAAAACCCTTTCGATATTACAGTACATTGCGCGATTATAAAGCATTCAGCGAGCAAAATATCCGCATAAAAACAATGAATAACGTTCTCTAATCCCGTAAATCATCCCAACTACTGCTTTATCGCTTCGGTCTTTTTCAGTTGTTCTCAAGTCATGCGAGAATTGAAAAAAAAAAGTAAACTATTTGTTGCCTCGACGTCTCACGACGTCCTCGTCACCCGGTAGGACATAGAAAGGCCACAGCCAGGCCAAAACCACGTGTCGGCCAAATACCTTCCGCACATTTGCCCACGCAAATTCCCCCTTCTCCTGGCCTCGGTCCATCTCGAACCCAGTGAGTCCGTACAACACCAGTCGCAGCTGTCGCCAAAACACGTACACGGCGACGAGCCAGGCCAAGCAGCCAAATGCCGTCAGGTGAACGTTGACGACGGCTAAACTGTCAATGTAGCCAAAGGGCACGGCCAGGTGGAAGAGGAACAGTTTCGGGATCAGGGTCCAGGTGAGCAGGTCCCGGGCAGCGAGGACCGAGTACAGGTGCTGAAAACCCAGCGGCATCACGTGCGAACCCATGGCGACGAAGTACGAGAGCCCGATGATGAAACGGCCCTGGTTTCGCAGCCCGATGCAGGTTCCTTGATTTTAAAAAAGAAGCGAGGAAAAAAAAAGTGGGTCGGAAGAAAGAAAAAAGATCGTTAAGGCCCCCAATAATCGTCAAATAAGAACAAATTTGAAAAAAAAAAGAATGAATATTATACTTCGCTGGGAATATTTAAACGTGATCGACTTCCGTACAGTCACGTCCATAAGTGCGAGGGTTTCTTCACAAGTTTTGTCACACATATCGATTTTCGTTAAGATACTCAGACAAGTTAGGGACTGAAGAAAATTTTCCAAGAGGCAGACTTCATCATTCCTTCAGCAACTTGCATCCAGTTTTTTTCAGACCAATGAAAGAAGGATAAACCAGAGAATCGAGACTAAATGTGAATAAATTAGGTTTACCTGTCATTCACATATTATTTGCGTTCAGCGCAAGTGCAAGAAATACTTGTAATAATCTTTTTAGAAAAAGGTTCCCGATGACAATATCCTAGAACTAACAAACATACTCCTATAAAAATTGCAGTCTTGAGAATATTTCTGCGTTCGTTATGTTGCGCGTAAACGTTTTCATGAAATGCCAATAGTTCGGCACAACGTTGCCGAAATCGTGGCTGCCACTGAAAAAACTAAAAAAAAAGGACGTCTCATTCCAAAATGTTATTCTGATCCCAGAGTGATTCAAAGGATCGTCGCAAAGAAACCTGGAAACCTAATTCCATGAACTGTTCCTTTAACAATCCAAAAAATCAACATTCTGAAGAAGTAAGTTGGCTTAGACTTCTCTCCAGTCGGGCAGTTTACAGTGGTTTGCTACTGAATAATGTTTGGCCTTGAAATTTATAGAAATGAGCTTCTGCTAGTGAATTTCAAGTGCAGGAAGAACACGACGACTCCAAAAATTTGAATTATAAATCGCTTCGGGAGCTAACTACTGACGTCGGTTTCTCAGAATCTTCGACAGTCCATTCATTCAAATACAACAAGAATACATAACAAGACAAAATATTCAACACTTCTTTAGAATGTGCGCCTAAATCTAATCCAAGAGAAAATGATCGATAACACGATTAGCTTCAATCGGGAAGTTTTTGCTCAAGCAGTGACATCAACTCATATTAAATGATTTACTAGAGAACAAGAGAACGAGTATTTCGAACTCGAGGGTAACTTCGATTTCTGAGAAATCAGACGGACAGATTTGTAATACTGCGTAGGGAAAGAGTCGCGTGTCACCTAAACAAAAAATCTTGAAAATTCCTGAGAGCTCTTCCAACGATAAAGCCCTTGAAAATTAATAGAAAAGCAGCTCACGGGAAAAAAAACTTCCTATCTCAAGATTGTTGTGGTGGGTTTTCAAGCTGGTTCCGGTGAAAATGATTACGTTAGCAATTTTTTCCTGATGAAAAGTATAAAAAATGCTGAGGATAATTCTTCCCCTGGGAATTCAGCTGTTGAAGAAAGCTGGAAAAATTTGCAGCAAAGCTTTATGGAAAATGCCCGCCCAAATCCGAAAAACATCACTAAAAATGATCCCTACAACAATGTTCACAAATTATTCCTAATGCACCCCAGATGAAAAAAGCTTAGATTTCCAGATCCATTTCACCATCATGTGTTCGTTGAGAAAAATCAGTTTGCTTAAGAAACGAATTATAGATTTGAAGTAACGAATTTCATTAGCCTGCGTTAAAAATACGTCGAAGAATTTGAAGAACCCCTCTGGGCAATGACAATAAAAGGCTCGAAGTAGTAACTCAAAATTTATCAAATAGTATGAAGCAAGTAACGAACTGAACAACTCGGCAATAAAAAGCCCTCCAATTCTACGGAATGAATGGATGATTTACTACGAGTCCCAATAAAGGAATTTCGAAGCAGCCATTTAAAACCGAAGTTTCTTTCTCGCTGAAGTACGCAATCTTACGCAAGAGAAACTGTGCCACTTTGAAAAAAATTCAGACACACGAAACAAGAAGAAAAAGATTCTGAAATGTTTCAAAGCGCTTTTTTGAACTTTCGACACAGTCAAAACCTTATTAATGGTGGATATAAAATGAGCACCTCTCCGGAAATACAAGTAAGTACAGGTACAGCATTTCATCATTCGAAACGAGTTCATTAGTACGCATGCTTTCATTCTTCTTGGTGTCTTTTCAATCCCAAATGGGTCAATGATAAGTCCATAGAAACCTTTCACACCGATCACACGCGAGAAAAACCTATATAGAATCGAGAAAAAAAAGATAAATTAAAATATTGCGTAGTTGATTGGACGGTATTTTCGGCGGATGCAATAGAAATATTCATCAGCTCTGACAAACGTTCTTTACACTTTACAGAGTCTAGACGCTTTCATTAAGAATTTGCATCAATCAGCAGCCAGGGAAAAATAATTCGACGAAATTCAGAATGCAAGAGGGGTCAACATCATTTTAGGCAAGTAAGTTTAGGTTCACGCTTTTTCGCCTCTTGCTCAATTGTTTAAGAGAGGAAAAAATGTGAAGAAATGTACATTACGAGGACATACAGTATTTTCAATCACATTATAAAGAAGTTGCATTTATGATCCATTGACAAAAAATCATTGTAGATCAATTACAAGATTTGCGGCAATACTGTACCGTATTTCTAATTGCATGCCTGGAACAGAAAATATATCGCCTAGATATTAATTTGTCAAGCATATCTTCACGTACAGTCCTGCCAACGCAACATTTTGAATTTTCCTTTAGAAAACGGTTTTCAAACTTGGAACACGATAACCACGAAAATATGTCTCTTCATGAATTGCAGGTACGGTCGTCTGAACTGCATGCAAAATTATGAAATTTATGAAAGCATTTCCACATAATGACAAGCTGTACTTCCAGACATCTTCTCTTCAATTCCATTTTAATCAGTAAAAATTGAAACCATGAGCACGACATTATAGAATATGACTTCCTTTCTTTCTTTTGTACTGTATGAGCAATGAGTTGATGAAAATTTAGCATCAGTCGAAAACAAGATTTCCTTTTCAATCGGAAAATGGTGATTGAATTCTTCCTTATATACCTCGCTAACATAAATAACTAAGGGACTAACTACGAAATTTTATCTGTCGCAATATAAATCAGCGGAAGAGCTTGCAAATCTTTTACAAGATCATATCCCCATTCTCTTCCATATATTCCTTCTCTTACAATACACAAGAAAACGACGCCGACAAACCCACTAAACAACCCAACCCACCCATCATCACCGGAAACCCCGCCAAGTCACTGCCACGCCCCGGCATCTTGTCAGAAAAAAATGCCGAGATTTGCGGGAAATTCGCAGTTAAGCAGCTGCGTCAAGAATAACAACTGGGGCATCTCATTCAATCCCTGCACAGGCTTCTCAGACACTTCTTCAACGATCAACATAAGACTCTTGCTTCATAAACTGGAATTTCTAAAAAAAAAAATTCTGGTACTGTTCCGAGCCCTGCGAACAATAATTCACTATACTTCTTAGATATTTCTAGTTAAGATTGGCTTGGCTAGTAAAAATTTAATTTATTCAGCAGAGATACAATAGAGTGGATAGACCATCTCGGTAGCATTTGTCCAGCGCACGGAGTGTGAAAATAAATTTGACGCTCGTACTTTTTGTCAACGTCGTCATACGAGGCATGTGTATTTTTGCTTCTCAACAGCTTCTAGATGAAAATCCTGATTTCATATTGAATATGCGGAGAACATTTCAAGGTATTGAAACACGAGCAGAAACAATTCGGAAAACATCAAATGCAATTAAAAGGCCTGTCTCACATTCGCAAAGAAAACTTGCAAAAATTATTTTANATTCTCAAGCAAAAAACAAAAAAAACAGGCAGATCGAGGACTTTCAACATTCAAGATAATCTTTCGCCAATAAGGTTGGTCTACCCAAAATAAAACACACAGCTTCTACATTTCAATCTGACCACTGCTCTAGGAAATTCCGCAGGGAATAACCAGCAGTCCAGAACCCCGAAATTTCGTCCGCAAATAGCCCAACGCCATTATCGACCGAAAATCAAGTTTAAAATTCAATTGAACATACTCAAGCAAAGCGGACAGAAATTAAAATCCTGAACTCCTACTTCCGAAGTTTAGGAAATTCACCTATGTCCCTAAAGACGATTAGAAACAATTCGGAAGAAACTGAACCCAATGAAAGTGCGTGTCTTACATTCGCAGGTAAAATTATGTTCAATTGCAATTAACAAGCACCACAAAAAAAACAAGCAGGTGCCATTTTACGATCGTGGACTTCCAACATTCAAGATTCAAGTTAATCTTCCGCCAAAATGGTTGGTCTAACCCAACCAAAAAATAAATAAAATTGCTTCTAGATTCCGATCTAACCACTGCTGTAGGAAATGCCGTCGGGAATAAACAACAGTCCAGAACACCGAAATTTCGTCAGCAAATAGCCCAACGCACCCAAGCAGGCAGCCCGTTAAGTCAAGTACCCCCCTTCGCTGCGCTCCTTGCGCCATTTCCTGGGTTTGCCGGTGCCTATGGCTGGTAACTGCGACCATAACTCTTGACACGGAACATCCCGCATATCATCCCGTGCTGGGTTATGTGGGGCACAAAAGAAAAGAAAGGGAGAAAATGGAGAGAAAGTCCAGAAGGCGGAAGGAAGGAACGAACGAAGGCGGCTTCGAGCCCATTGTGCAGAAGGGAACCCCTACCCAAGCCAGAACCAGAAGACTCCCAACTTCCATCACTTCCGCTATTTTTTTCAAAAGAAACATTTTTCCTTTTGCTATATTTCAGAAGTTTCTCGAGACGACGAGAGTTTTACAAAACAGGCGAGTAATTTCTAGACTTCGTCGCGCGTCGAGCATTCTTATTTTATTTTTTCTCGTGGAGGCCGTATAAAATGTACAGTAAACAAAGCAGTTTCTCGCGAAAATTGGCAGAAAAAATCTGGTTGCTTTTCGTTTTTTAAAAATTCTGACAATGTATGCGTCTGAGATTCAAATAGTTCATAATCGGCATAATCTTTTAATCAATACTACAGTATATATTAATACAGTACAGTATATTTTAATTAATACTGAGAATGAATTTCATGAACATAGTTTTAAATTCTAGTGCCCAACATTTGGAATCTTTGTTTCTATTCATGATGCTCAGGAGATTCCACTGATATTCCCAGATTCTCAACAAGAAAAAAAATAGTTCAATAAGTACTTCCCTCATTCGCAGATTTGTTCTTATGAGGATTGAAAATACAGTACTGTAAAAATAAGTCTTAGAATCCATTACTTCTATATTCGAGCAAATATGAAAGTCAGAATTCCATCTTCGTTACAAGAATTCCATCCTAGTTACACAGGGAACTCACCAAATCTTTTGAAGAAAATGCAATTCTGAAATTAAACTCACCGAATTGTTCCCTGAAAAAAATTTATTCAATGGCACAGCGCAAGAATGCTCATTTTTCTTTCGAGTTTTTCGTGATAATGCTTTTGAAAAAAAAGGTGCCTGAAGCAAGAGTTCCGCATAATCAACACTCATCTTCTAAGAAATTACTGCACTTGTTGAATAATACATTACACAACAAAAGATCGTCTGAAAATTGGGAGGGGGTGATATTTATCTCCTCAATGAAGCACACAAAAATTAGTCAAACATCTAGGACTCGAGTAAACTCCATCGTTTCATTTAGAAACGAGGAATCAAATTACCGTTCAAGTCGGGTACATTTTCGCTCACTTCCTGGGCCCCAAACTACCCACAGATTGAATCCCGACGGACAACTTTATCCCCACGTTATACAGTATTTTCGACGGAAATCCTGTGAGGGAAATAGATGACGGGCAAAGCCGACGTGGGAATGTAACGGACAGCGCAATGAAAGCATCTCGCCCTGATGCTGTCAGGCTTCAAAACATTTTCCAAGTGAAAACTGACGACCAGTCGTGGCCAGTCGAGGGAACTCATTTCACTCTAACTCAAAATATTGGACATACACAACTACTGTACTGTACGAAGCTACAAACCCTACTAATGACTAATTTTTGTGTGCTTCATTTAGGAGATAAATATCACCCCCTCCCACAAAAAAAAAAATATGATGTAGTCATTCAGTCATTACAGCGGTACCCCGGATAACATACAACACGCGTAATGGAATTTTTGGCACGATGGACTCGAGTTCATGCCGATTTTTGCTTAGACATATGGACGCTCTTTCGGAAAATGGATGCATCAGAAGGCACTTCCTGGTCCTCAAAAAAAAGAATACCCAAGTTACTCTGAGAAATGCAGCTAGCGATCATTTTTTAAATGGATGAAAGCTATCCTTGCATTAAGTAATTTGTATTGCCTCGATCATAGTTATCCTTTTATTGTGTATTTTTGATCGTGTTTCTCATAGCTTTCCTTGCTTTCGAGTCTCCAGTAGATATTTTACGATTGTTCATAGACATTAGTATGTGGTTCAAGATGAACAAAATGATTTGTTCCCAGAGATTCAGAACACATTATATTCAGAAAGAAAGAGCCAAAAAAGTCATGAATGATTCGGAAGTAAACAGTTTCGTCTCGAATCTTCGAGGCAATGAAGAAATCGCAAGACTTCGTGAGGATGAAGTGGATGATGAATTATTTCTTCATCTACTGGCTAAATTTTTAAACTAGAGGAAATACTTCAACATAGGGAAATGAGGCTTCTCAACATATGATTTCAGAAAAGTTTTCGAGGTTATTGTCGGAAAAAATGCAGTATTAAAGGGGATATGAAGTAAGAGTTTTAGGACATATTTAGTATCTAGGCTGACATTTTTGAAGAATCGTCTCATGCAGAAATGTTGAAGAAAATGGATATAGCCTCATTTCTCAATGATTTCAAGCAAACGGAGACTCCGTTACAAATTACTTTCTGTTTAAATTAAAAACGTGACAGCGTGAGAAAATACAGATAGGCACCAACTTCGTTTCACGAGGATTTCTCGAACAACCAGCTGAAATAATCGCTGCCCGCATTGTCGTCAGATGATTGAAATTCCGAACTTCCTCTAATTAGTATGCCGCTCGATTCCATCTTTTGACTTTATATAATGGAACTTGAAACTGCAGATAATGTGATTAAGAAAACAAGTCCAAGACTTGATGTGGATTCCGAAAGACTGAAATGACCAATGGCGACATTGTTCCCAATTTCAGGAAACACGTTTCACGATGTTGTACGAGTACCAGTTCTGAACTCAATGCCGATTTTTCGCTTAGAAAAAATTCAACCTTTATTCCGAATGTTTACCATTTTCAAAATAACTTCATAGAAGGGATAAAAAAACCTCAAGATGAAATCATCGCGCCGAACATGAAGCTTCCGTCGTTTCAGTCATTTACTAAATGACAGAGAATGACCGAATCTAAGACTTGAAACCGAAAGAAAATCTAGAATTGATTCCCAGACATTTTCGTCAAGATAATGGAAAAAATGTTCGTACATTCTCGGAAAATGAACAGCCAGCAAACATTCCACGAAGATCAAGTAATGAATGACAGCACTAAAAGACAAGATCACTTCAAAAAGATAGAAACAAAAACAAAAATGACGCAACTGAGATAAAACCTACTCAAAGGAAAAATCTCAGCTACTGACGTCATTCATAATCACATAGAGATTAAATGATGCACCAGACAATGATAAGATAATTAAAATCGTCAGGTTTATTACAGAGTAGAAACTTGACTTAATGACACTTCATGACATTACAGACAGAAACAGATTCGAATGCACAGCGAAAAAAAAAAACTTTTAATCCACATCATCCTCCCTTTTCGTGCCAAACAACGAACACGACATTTTAGGCATTAGTTCTGCTTTCTTGTCAACACCAACATTTACCAGGTCGTAAACTTCTACGAACCCGAATAATGACTTCAGGCACAGAACGTTAACAAGAGGTACTGTACGTAACTCTAGTTTTTTTTAAATACTGTACTGCACCATGCTTTTTTTTCCTGTCGTCACGGAAAGCAAGAGACGAATCTGATGCACGCCATAATTACTGTATACCTTTCTACCGACATTTTTTACGACACGGCTCCACCCCCAGGTACTGACAAGCGTAAGTTTTACGATGCCAGGACGCATTATGCTTCCGCGTAGTAAATTATCGAATAATGTCAAAAGCAGCTCGCTCGCACGCCATGGAGCAAACTGAGAACCGAAAATGTCCTGGTGGCATTCCGTTCTCGTTACCTCCAGACTTGCCAAAAAATGATAAATACATAACTCATCTGATCATGATTTACACACATGTGCATCAGGAAAATGACGTCGAGACTTCACTACATTTTTTAATGCGACTTCCCTCCGATAATCCTGTTTTAACAAGGCAAAAACGGATTTACTGTCGCTTCGAACTGCATGTTGAGCAGCCGGATTTAGAAATACAACCAAAAAATGCACTTTCTTTGGTCATTTCAGGAACTTGCGATAATCCGTGGAAAGTCAATAGAATTTGACAATCTTAAAATTACCTCTCAAATATCACGAAAATTACGTGAAGACTAAATAAAAAACCTTCATCCCAAAATTAGGTTTAAACAAGTAAAAAACGGATTAACTTCTATTTCGAAAACAAGATGAGCAGCCGGATTTAAAAGTGCAGTTTCTTCAGTCATTTGAAGGAACTTGCGCTAACCCATGAAAAGCCAAAAAAATATGACAACTCACAAAATTACGCCGCATTTTATTTCTGAATGTCAGGAAAATGAAGTAGAGGCTTCACAATTCTTTTTTTATGCGACCTCTTTCCGATAATTATGTTGAAAAAACTGATTTACTACCGTTTCGAAAGCATAATGAGCAGTCAGATTAGCAAATGCAACCAAAAAATGCCCTTTTCTTGTCATTAGCAGGAACTTCAGCTAATTCGCGGAAGGCCATTGAAGTTTCAACAGTTCATATAAATTTGGACGGATTTCTAAATGCTAAAAAAAAAAGAGAGCGAACATTTCCGTAAGGTGAATATACACACGATGAGGGTTCACGAAATTTTTCAGCAGAACTACACGATTTTTCTTGATGAATCTTCTAGTCTGATTAGAAAACGACTAATTTGCCACCATTAACGTTTCCTAGCACATTGAAGTACTGTACCTCATTCAATTTTGAATTTATTTTACAGGCGCGCCTTTGAATCGAAAGAAGAATGTTCTTTCGTAGAAAAATATGCTGGCTTCTTCAAAAGTACAATTTTGTACGACCTGAATGACGCGATTTCGACTGCATAAGCCGAAGATTCTCAATACGAGGGTTCTAACAAAAGTTCTTGGAGTAGCAAATACAGTATAATGGCTTACAATTGAGCTGAAAAAAAGTTATTCTTTCTGGAAAAAATATTCTTTGGCACAGAAAAAAATAGCAGCCCTGTTTGACTTGGACTTGATTCAACTCAAACAGGTTTGACTTGGTTCTAGCTTTTGTTAGAACCCTTCACAGCTGCCAAAGTGGCGGCTGTGAAGGCGGCTGCTGGTGAAAATGGCGGAATTGCCTTGGATGACCTGGAGACAATCCTTAGAAAGAATGCCAAGTTGATTTCAAAAATTCTGAGGGAAAAGCTGGGCTACAACAATAAAAGACGCCTCATCTTTTGAGTGGAGAACAAAACTCTGCCAGGGTAAAATATTAAAATAATTCAAAAAAATTTGTCAAACAGGGCTGATATTTCTTTGTATGCCAAAGAATATGTTTTTCATGAAGAATAAATTTTTTCAGCTCAATTGTAAGCCATTTTCATTGCTACTCCAAGAACTTTTGTTAGAACCCTCGTATTTGAGACACGTGGAGCCCGTTTTGAAAATCACTTTCCACGGCGGGGCCCCTGCGGGAAGTTCATGCTCTTTATCGATATTTTACCGACAAAGCTCCTCGACACTTCACTCGTGGGGCTTAATTCTTAGACCTTATGACGGTCATCTTCATGCATCACCGTCAGAAAGGATATTTTAATATTTCTCATCCTTTGCTCTCATTCTACTCTCAGATTTTCTACACCGCAAAGACTTTGTAGAGCTAAGAAACAACTCATGAGCTCGATGTCCCGCGTGCAGGCATCTTGAAAATCCCCGGACAATGGCCTAATCGTGTCTCGAATCATTAAAACTTACTCAACGAAAGGTACTTGAACCGAGATCATAAATTTTGAAAATTGAATCGACGCTCGACAGAGCACTTGATAAGCGTGATGATCTCGCGACTGTAAGAATCGCCGATTAAATTTTGAGATGACACAATCGTTTCGATAACGATCCCGGGATGTATTAGCCACTCTATAAAACCCGATTTTCCCCCTGCTATATTCATTCAATGCTAAATTGAAAAAAAAAGATGGACCAATTTACGAGACAGCACAATGGAGTAGCTCATTAACTCATGAATAAAACGCACCTGTTTTCCGAGTGCGCCTTTCAATCAATATAGAAACGTTCTTAGATAGAAAAAATAATCTGGCTTCTTCATAAAGATTATTTTGCACTCGTATAGCGGAACCACCCGTAAATAACGATGCTCTCGATTCGTACGGAAGAATTTTTAAAAATTAATTTCAATTTAGGAACTTGAACAATGAGATGGATGCTACAATTCGTTCATAGAACGCCTCAGTTTCTTATTCAAAACATTTCCAACGTCATCTCAAACAGCTCAATCACGGAAACTCTGCGGAATTCTACCTCCTGCACAGCGAGAACAGCCCAACGAATGCGTTCACAAACCTTCTTCAGTATTTTCAATTTTTTACCTTCGAATACCCCATCAGAACGACAAATGTTACTAAAATACTGTACCATTTCAACCGAAGTTGTAAAAGCTTCAGTGGAATCCACGGAAACTCTTATCGAGAATAATGCGTTAATTTACAGCAAGCTTATGTTAATCAACGTACTGTACATCAGAAGTCCAGATGCTTACAATACAGGGTGTCGAAAGAGAAATGCGCAGTTAGATTTCAGATATCAAAGCAAGATGCTTTTCATCGCTCGCTAATAGAAGGTTCAGATTCTCTCCGAGTGGATAGATGTCACTCGAAGTCACAATAGCACAGACGATACTTTTAGTTCCAAATGGAATACAGTATTACCAGAATGGTGATCAATATAAAATTGTTCTATCCTTCAGAGAGGGTTCTAAGTTATTTTCGGAGAATTAAGTCCGATTTTCTTGCATTCATGCGTCCAATTTTGCACAAGATCTGAAATGAACAAACTTTTCGATTTCAACTTCACCAGAACTTTTGGAACACCCTGGCACATACCGTATTTACTCGAGTACCACACGCCCTGGAGTAAGACGAGCATCTACGATTTTCGGCAAAAATGAGGGAAAATCTTATCCATAATAGATGCGCCCGCGTTCGCAGTTCCTACTGTATTTTAAAAACTGTGCTGGTTAAAAATCTGAATTGGAGCCCTATCAAAAATTGCATTCAGTGAAAATATTTTGTTCCCTACAAATGATAGTATTGTTCCATACAAATGATAGTATTGTTCCATAGAAATGATAGTATTGTTCCATACAAATGATAGTACGTATCAGAAAAATAGAGAAATTCGAAATGAACTTGAAAGTGGGAAGAAAAGTATCCAATTAAAAAAAAGCCCCTTGAAATTAAGTACTCGACTAGGAAGAACACCTCATTTTTTGTTCCGCGTGGTACTCAAGTAAATACGGTACTTCGTAAACCCAACCATTTTTCGTAAACCCTTACTTTCACTGATGAGCATTACAAGCACATTCCCAACAATTTTCAACAAGCAAAGAACTCACCAAAGATGAAGCATGAGTGAAGCAACGCAAGGCCTAATGCGAGCACGTTTTACGAACAACACAACGCAATCGACGTCACCGGACAAAGCAAGGCATCGTCAGGAGACATCGATATACACAGCACATTTCCCAGGCAACCGTGGACGCTTTTGGAGAAAAAAAAAAGTCGGTTCATACTCAAATATCCGCAGTGATGATCTCGCTGAAGAACGCAAACTCCGCATTTGGCACAATGATGCGATCTTTCGGGTTTGATGCACTGGCACACTTCACACCAGGTTTTATCGTCCTTTCCTAAAAAAAAACATTAAATCAACGAAATATGAATCGATCTTAAAATTTCAGGGAATCATCTCCTATATTTCTTCACAAACACAATTTCGCAATTACGAAAAACACGTGCAGTTGGACTTCCTTTGGCGTTTTTCAAGTACCCAAAACGCAGCACAAAAACGCCTTCATGATGGGCAATCTAGCGTGGAATATCGCAATTATACATCAACCACGCGAAAAAAGGTGCAGCCTTTCTCTTATTTTTATGCATAAAGAAGTCAGAACCTGTAAAGCCAAAATTTATGACCTAAAATGCACCATTAATTTCTTGGCTGAGCTTTTATCGGATGATTTCTTCAGACTTCAAAGAAGAAAAGCGATGCAGGATAATAAAAGACTTATTATTCTGATACAGACTCCTGCAATTGAGGCATCTGAGTTCGGCTGCGAAGACGTAGTTTTCAATTGGCAAATTTACGACAGTATGTCAAGTGATTATCTTTCAACAAAGCATACGCACCCACTCATGAATGGACGGCACGCGGAAAACTACGACATTACAGGCATCATAACTGACCAAAAACAAGGAAAACTAAAGTACAGTACCGTACATTTATGTCATGCTCATACGGAAAGGACAGAATTGAACACGTTCCTTTAAAGCGCATTTCGTTCACTCATTTCTATCATGGATTATTCAAAGTACTCACAGCTTTTTAGGGCTTAGATCTCAGGAACCTCGCCTGAACATGTTACAGTTGAACCTCAATAACTCAAACCTCTCTTATGTTGAATACCTCGCAATGTCAATTACAATATTTAGGAGTCGCTGTCTGAATTTCCTTTGAAACAGTACATTGAAAACCTCCTCAACTCCCAAGGCTTTCCCCTTCAAAACTCCTTCACTCGAATTTTCTATAGGCCTTTTGGTTATTCTTTTGACAAAGCAAAGAGAAAAGCAATACAAATACAGCATAACTTGATAAGTTTTGGAAGGAAGTGAATGAATAATTAGGCGAATGAATCCTAACCTACGACTTCATCTTCCTGTCAACTCATTCAAGAAGCACTTTAAGGCCCAGAAAGATTGTCTTTTATAATTTCCTGCAATTCCTCTTGTTTTCCCTCAACTAAAATGCACTTTTCCCTAACTGGAACTTTCTGCTGGTCCCCTGAAGTTCGACTCAAAGAGGTTCGACTGCACCAAAATATCGCATCTCACAACATCACCAAAGTTTTCAACGAGTCCTTGCACGCTCTCAGGTACGAAACAAACTCATAACAAAAGTTTGTGATACGTGAACGAATCGACGATAATAATGAGAAAAGAAAACAGTAAATACCCGTGATCTCAGCACCGCCAACAATGTGCCCTGGTCCAAGTGCACACGTCTTCCACCAATTCCAACCAAAGGAGAAGGCACAATAAGCCATCAAGATGTAATGCGGGGCAGCTTCAGTCCAAGAATGAAAAACCGACGGAAAAATCACGAGCCAGACCCAGAGAAGACCGAGTGGTGTGCCGACTATGAGGAAATAGAAATAGAAAATTTCCGACGCGTCTTTCCCCTTGTTTCCCGACATCACGTAAATCCACAAAATACAATAAATTTATGAGAATGCTCCAAGAGCTACCTGTAGAAAACAAAACAGAGCCACAGACAGATCACGCGAATTCCAAATTGAAAGATGAACCAAGACAGGATCTACCTGGAGTTTTGTCGGAAAAAATATTCACTGCTGTACAACTGAAATTTCAGTCGTCACTTATTCTTATGTGTTCTGTTCTATACGGAGACTATAGTAGAAGAGCTCGTGAACTAAACAGCTGTAAACAAAATATAAATTTATCTCAGCTAAAGTCGCGTCATTGATATAGGTGGCATCTTCCGCGCCAGGGGAGATGATGAAAAACGAATTAGCCGATCTCAAGAGAAATATGAATTCCTCTATTGTTGGAACAGATTCATCTCCAACAGACAAGAAGTTAACTTACTTCAACAAGTAGATTTCTTCTTCTTGATTCTAATATTTCTTCCCTAATTCAGTCACAACTTCCTTCGCTGCAAATTCCATGAATTGTTCCCAACTCATCCTAATCTGAATTTTCCCCGGAATCACCTCGCAAATGAATCCCCCTGCATGACTACTCGGGATTCACGTTCTCAGCGTCAAACCCCCACTCATAACTCGTCTGATTTCATTGCAACACAAAAAAATTGGGTGACACCTAAAGCTAAACGCATACAAATTCCGACAAAACCTCCAAGCAAATCAATTGCAGCGAGATTTCTCAATAAATTTAACTGTGCCGACACGGAAGGATTTGCGAGCTCGCAAAAACAAGCCGATACAAACCAGCACTTTGAAATTATAAAACAAGAACTGAAACCTGTATTTTTTTCGTTCCCATCAACCGCATCGCTCAATCCAGGAAAAAAGGCAGCTGGGAAAGAAAAAAAAAACAACGAACAATCTCATGCACGCAGGACAAGCACAAGAGCATTTCCTACGCACACTCCCGAATATTCCACTACACTTATTCAAAATCGAGCAAAATTAAGATTTCCGCAAAAGAACGAAAAAAATCAACCATTGAGAGAGCGATCGACACCAGAATCAATAACGGCCTTGTTTCACAAAAATACAGCACTTTCCACAGCGAGCTTGCGAAAGAAAATTTAATTCCGATCATTCCAGCAAACATACTCATAACCCGACAGCTTTGAGTGATAGAGAAAAAAAAGCAAGCAAGACCGATATTCGTGTACGACTTCCACCCACATCACGGCGCGATGTTTTAGTAACCCCAGTTGCGACTAGACTCCTCACGAACACTTAGAAATTTTCGAGAATTTTTAAATTGATAAAACAAAACCAAGACACTTGATGACGTTTCGTCCCATGATGCTTCCAGTGGACAGTCACAATTCAACCGAAGTCCAGACACCAGAGAACGTCAACCACGAAGTAACTAATCGCGCATCTCACCCCCATATCGACGTATTTCCAGTTCAGAAGAAAATGAAAAATATCGTAATAAGATCGAATGATGATCGTTTCAAACATCTTCATCAACAGAAATAGCACAAGGCACGTTTTAAATTAAATCGCCGTCGACACGAACAATTCATTCATCATACGAAAAATTTAGAAATAGGTTCCATACTCAGACAAAAATCAACACCGATGAAGATTTCTAAAACCACACTCTTCGAAATCAAAATTCAGTACGCTCATAAAAACAGCAGCAAAAAGACTTCAAAAGTTCTGCGCAACTTGAATTCGGCGACTTATTTAAAGTTGGTGAGAATTTCTGCGTAGCTTCCAGATTTCGAGATATATTGAAAACAAAGCGACGGCGACGGAAACGGATTTAGCGACCAACACCTAAAAACATCACGGGTGACAGGAGAGTGAATACATAAATACGTTTTTCTCAAGGCAACAATTGGTATAAAAGCAAGAGTACACGCATCACTATGGCAAATATGAGTGGGATAACTACCATATTTACGCGAATATAAGACGCATAAATTCGGAGACGAATCTTAAGATTTCAGTATTTCAAATTGGGAATAGTTTGCATGCAAACCTAAGGATGAACCGTCACTTGTTTCGTTATAACTTCTCTTAAGTCAACTAAACAACGCGGACAAATTTTAAAATCACAATAATAAAACTCAGTGCATTGACCCTTTCAATGGTCAGTTTTCGGCATTCATTCCAGATCATCCAGGCTTAAGGGGCTCAGATTTCCGACCACTTGATCAATTGACATTATACATGTGAATCTAAGACGCACACTGTCTTCTGGTTAAAAAAAAAAGTGCGTCTTATATTCGCGTGAATACGGTTTATCGAGTGGTTCACAAAGCAATCCTACGTTTAAATTTGCAGTAATGAAAAACTGAAAACTGAGGGCACTCGAAAAAAGGAAAATTAGCCCCATCCATTGACACACGCATTTGAATTGTGCGCTGAGGGTCAGAAGGTCTTTTATCACAGTTTTTGTCCGGAGACGATAGCGGGTCATAGCAGCGAACAAAATTTACAGGGTACTGCTTTTTTGCAGCTTCATGCGGTGATTGTCCAATCGGCCCTACCAAACTAGCGGGAAACCGATCAAAGGCGCGACTGGAATGTGAATAACAAACTCCGGACCACGCTGGAAACAAGTGTTCAGCGTTCTTCACTTCGGTAACAAAACGGGAAAGCTGGTTCTTTTGGCACTGCATACCGGGAAAGAAACGTAAGTTGAAATTATATAAGCGGACAGGCGATGGAATGGGGAAAACAATATCCACAAGGAGCACACGAATAAGCTCCGGAATGAGTCACAGTAACCGTAGGAGCGGCAAAGATTTTCACCTCCGATTTCAAAAACAAGCTCACCATTAGTTCGTAGAAACGACGAACGGGATTTGCAGGCTAACTTACTCGGATGTGGAATACAAATTTTCAAGTGGAAAATGTCGCTCGTAAAATGAATATAGCGGCATCATAAATCTCATGCGCGTACACCGTACCACACGTGAAGAAGCAGTTTAAACGGAATCGGCACGAACTTCCCCAGGTTTTCACCGAAAACACGTGACAACACAGGTAGGATTTCCAAGTCATGTCTGAAGCGCGATTTCCAACTCAGCGCTTACTTCGGCCAACGAATTTTCTCCGCCAACGACACCGGAATCTCAGTTTTCCGTTGATGCTTGGGGATCACACTGCAGGAGGCGAACGATGGAGGGATCACTTTTGGCTCCCTCTATAAACTCGTCCAACGATAACTTCCCATCTTTGTTTTTATCCATTTGGCGGAATATTTTGTCGGTTCGCTTCTCAGGAGTAGATTCATCTTCAGGCATCTTGATGACCGAACCGACCATTTTATAAATTGCTGTTACGATTTCCAGCATCTCTTGTCGAGAAATGTATCCATTTCCGTCCAGATCGTACATGGAAAAAGCCCATTTTAACTTCTGCTCCAGCTTGCCCCGCGAGGTGACGGATAAGGCGCACAAAAACTCCCTGAAGTCAATTGTGCCATCGCCGTTTGCATCGAATGTACGGAAGACGTGTTCCGCGAATTTAGAAGCATCTCCGTACGGGAAAAAATTTCCGTAGATTTTTTTAAATTCGTCCACACTCAGATGGCCATTAGGGCAATCCTTCAAGAAACCCTTATACCAATCTTGTATTTCAGCGTCCGTGAACTCCGTGTTACTTCGCAGATCTTCCAAAACCTCTGGCTTCAGCTTACTATTCTTCTGACCCATCGTCGTGACTCCCGGCAGCCGCTTACCAATGAATATCTAAAACGGCCTCCGATTTATACACGGGGGAAGTGACATTCACTGCTTCACACTCTTCCGAAACGACTCTAAGAACCAGTTTCAATGCACCTGGGCGAATTAACAATATCAGAACGTAAATGTAAGTCCATCGAAATAACTTGAATTCAAAATACAGCAGAAGCAGTTGTGATCAATCAGCATCAGAAAATCGCTATTCCCGTCATCACTGCGTCAACCACTACGACCAAACGCACTTGCGCGACTGCAGTAAATGATTTTCCCGAATAATGACTTCGACTCAGCTATCCCACCACAATGTACCGTTTATGACGTCAGTTCCGCAACACCAACACAGAAAAAAAAATACCAAGTCAATCGTTCAACAGTTCAGAACGAAGTGCCTCTCCAGCTCGCGTCTCCATCCGTCCTGTCCAATTGCTCCACTCTCGCCTTCCCCAAGCTAAACCTCGTGGGGATGTTAGAACAAACGATATGCATTCCATGCTGCTCGGTAGATGTCGCTACTCGCTCAATGAGCGTCTGGCTGCCCTATGACGTGGAACGTCGTGCAGCTACACAAAAGCAAAAAACGTCTGATATACCCGTCCTGCAGGTTTGCCATCTTGCGGTATTGAACAAGGAAATTTCAGTACCCTGCTTTCAAAGCAAACACAACAAGAACAGTATTTAATTTAAGTATGATTCCCTATATATATTGATTCAGATTAACTAATGAACATTTGAAAGGACTTACCAAATGATCGAATTGCTTATGAATGAATTGCATTTCACAGCATTCAGATGGCGTACCAAGAAAATTTAATTTCATACATGTTCTATGTTCATTACAGTATATAGGAGCTCAGGTCAGCTGTGATTGGCTTTAGATATTACAGAAACGTTTAATTAAAAAACTGTGGGCATCTATAATGGATACGCAATATTCTCCAGAAGTTGCAATGCTTCAAAGAGGGTATCTTTCAGCTCATGTCCCACACATGCAGTCAAATCAATCTATCAATATACAGTAGACTTCTCCTCGTCATCATTCCATTGGAAATACGCTATGCACAAAAAGCAGAAAAAAAACAATAAAACTATGAAATAAAACTTGTCTATACATACGCTAAATGTCCTGATTTTGAAGCATACATTTTGCAAGATAAACAAGACTGTGGCTTATACTACTTTTAATCAAACTTATGCGTGAAGAGAATACTTATGAATAGAAGCTCGTCTGCCGCAAATTTCTCTCCCCCCCCCCCCCCCCTGAAAACTGCGAACCTATTTACATCTGTATAGGTTATGTGTTTCTATGAACTATTGTCAGTTCACCAAAATAATAAACCGTACTACCATTTCATGAATTCCATGCGCTCCACAGCAAATTTTCAAAACCAAAGACTATTTTTTCCCTCGAAGCATATTTTTTGAACACTGCTGGCAGTGAGCTTTGGTCTTAACAATGCTTTCAGGCCTGACCACCCACAGAGTCCCAGGTTTTCATTCAAACATTCGTTTATTCAAATAAAAACCTTTTGATGAGTTTTTGAAAGAACTTACAGTACTTCGTTTCCAGAGGTTAATCAATGATTATTATAGTACATCACACTCGAGTCCCACATGCATGCGCACAACGTGATTGATCATGGACACATTCATGGGTGTAACTATTACAGTACTGCGGTACCCATTTCCCCAAGTACCACGCCTATACTTGCACATCATGTGTACCATAATTTTTGAGCTGAAAAATTGGGTAAAAGCTTGTCCCGCTCAAGACACCCCCGATTTACAGCGCAAAATGTTTACAATTTCGGAATTATTACAGCTGATTGATTAATTCATGCACTAAAATATGCCATTGATTGCTTTTCTTCTATATATTGTAATTTATTTGTAGTGTGATCCAAGATTAAATGCTATTGTGGAAAATTTTGTACTTGTGTATGAAGCGCACTTTCTTCTTAGTGAAGTAAGTACTGTATCTCATATTTCTGGTCAAGTAAATAGGATTACGGTAAGTGTACTGGGGCCGCATAAATATTATTGAAAGCGAGATCTAATTTCATCCTTCACATTCTTGCTACACGGAATATCAAGAAAGCATAGAATAAATATTCGCGAAGAAATATCAGGATTTGTTTAATTCTTCCAGGCAACCTGATGTTTTCCAGCACACGATTCAACACAAGTTGCGTAATCAATCAAATGGAATACTGGAGGCATACAACAAAAGTTTTGTTGCAACTGCCGCGTTTAATGTGGAATTGCAGGGAAAATCCAGCAAAACAAAGCACCGACTCAGAAAAAGAACGCATTTTTCTTCAAAACTGCAGAAGAGCTCTTCTTCCGAACAATATGCAAAAAAAATAATGATCAGCGGTTCACGCGATGAGCGACACAAGATGAAACAAAGCCAAAAGACATTCCCGATTTTTTTTTCGACGTGCATCGCGAAATACCCAAAAATTTCCTTTAAAACATACGACAAAGATATCTTTCAACTTATTACCGTACCTTACTCGAAAAAACAGCGCACCTTAGCCAGCCAGCTTCCAGGCACGGTTGCAAAAGCCATTCCTTCCATTTTCAAAACGCGCTTTCAAAAAATATAACGCAACGAACATCCGAGGTGTTTTCAAAAGCTCACCGAAGCGATCAAAAAGACATTAGTAGCATACACCTGAACACGGAATGTTCGTCGTGCTTAGCAGGAAATTCCTCAAAATTCAACCCACGTTTTTTCCTGCCCTTCCCGATAATCGTCAAAAAACTCTCCCTCGGACGGTTTCGGAGAAGAAATCTTGGACATTTAGTGATAAGTATGGAACTTTTCGATTATACGACGCGAGGATCATCTCGTTTTGTTCAGAGAAAGCGATACTTTACTCGAGGCATCTTCAAGGGACGATTTTCCCACAGACACGAAATTGCGAAGACTGTTTCCCGCTGGCCTGAAGCTCTCCGCCATTAAACTTTAAAAGGTACCAGCGTGTATAAAACAATTGGTCATATTGCAAATATCACATCTCCATCAGTGAGCTACAGAAAAATGCACAACCATTCCATGACCTCGAGCGGGAAACTTACGTTATTGATCTCTAGGTGGAGCTGAAGTATGCAAGGGTTTGCTTCTCCTCATGGTTTTAAGTCGCGCAGAATTTCCCCCACGTCAAGACACTTATAATAACTCAAAGCGAGATAGAAAAAAAAAGCTACGTCCACTCGTTCGACTTTGGGCAACTTCTCAACATCAAAGCTAACGTAGTTGAATTCCAGCGACTGCGCATCACTCTTTCGCACGAAGCAGAAAAATGAAACTCAAGCAAAAAAAAAAAAAATCAAAAATACCCCTAAATAAACTTCAGTAGTTCCTTAGTCTCTCAGGTGTCCATCAGACTGCGAATGCTCCTTTGATATGTGCGCGGGAGGAGCAGGACGAGGCGGTTTTGGCTTCAGCGTCGGGCTCTCGCTCTCGGTACTGGGCGATGCTGGAATGTTTCCCCGAGTTCATGGTCCATTTCAAAGGCAGAAGTATAGAAAAAAAGAAAATCAAATCTCATTGAGTATGATACGGTAATCATTCAATTCAATGCGGAAAAATTCTAATCAAGGAATGCAACCCATACGAAAACATCGATGAACACGGAAGAAACATAATGGAATAACTACTAAGATGTTCATGCGCACTAAAAATAAAAGAGAGTATCTTCACAACATGCGAAAATGAGCATAGGGGACTTCCTGAATGAATCCTCAGAATTAATGGCTGAACCACATCAAAACACTGACCAACTTGACCGCATAGGAGTGGCCGGAAAAACGTGATGTACAATACTGCGAACAGATTTTAGAAAGAAGAACTCCTCACAAGTTCGAGCTACCGTGGTGAAAAACACTTCAAATTCAATCAATCATTTAACTTTGAATGATAACGATTTCAAGTCAGCCTAGGAACGACATCCATTATTGGAAAACAGAATTTCATCTGCTGTTTTGCCTCCGCATTTTGATTTTGTTAATAATTAAAGGTTAAGAGATGGTTTATCACACATTTTTAATGTAGGAAAATGTCTACATTCATTCTCATCAATAATGGCTTGCACCTCTCAATATGTTCTTCAAAAACAGATTTAATTCGGGTTTTTCCAAGTTGAAATGACTCCGTATGCGAGATTGGAATGAAGAAAGGCTCCAAGGTGTTAAATTCTGAATAGTATGTCGAACATCTTGTTAAGTACAGTTTTATAGCATCGTTTAATAGAGGATCTGAATATCCGGATCCCAAACGATCGGCGGAAGCAAATACAAATGTGCAGAAGCATACGGCTGATTTATTCATGGGTACTTTTCCCATTACCGAATGCCCATAAACCAGCAATAAATAAACAATTTCATAAAGTTGCCTGATTTACAACGGGGTGGTTCCGATCATACAAAAAATAAGAGATGAGTAGGCAGTACTTTTTTTCCGGTTCACCCGGGCGATGGAGAGTGAACATGGACAAGTAGATGAAACTTCCCGAAAGAAGGAGTGCAGTCTTGACAAAATCACAATGATTCAACCAAATCCCCTGAACGACATCAAGGCAGAAGAAAAAGATGCGAACACTTTCGTTGAGAAACCCAGAAAATCTGACGAGGAAAACTTCGTACAGCAACACGGAGGAAGACATGGAGCGGAACACGAATCATTCCGCCGACAACAGAAAATCCCCACGAACGAAACTGAATTTCGATCTTCCTGAAGTTAGGAACGACAAGCACTATAAAGCCTGATTCTCCCAAGCACACGAAGCTCAGGCAAAAGCAAAGCTTTTTTTAGTTACATTTCTCCGACATCCTCCTCTGCCCTACTGGAGTAAGGAAAGATGGCCGCCCGGACCAAGTTTTCATCCGCTTCAACAGCGCCCGCTGAAACCCCTTGCGCTTCGAGGTTTCCTCTACGTCATCCATTTCCGACATCAATGCTTCATCGCCCCGAACACACAGGCAAAACAAAAATGAATCACACGGGAAATAAAGAAACTCGAAGAGTTCCACAGAACGGAAAACAAAAAGCTATCATCAAGTGATACGAAATAAACCTAATGAACTCTGGTCTCCAAAATGAAGACCGGTCTACGACATTTATAAAAATCTATCGAAGACTACAAAAACCGTCAAACAAATTTCAGTGGCGCACGTTCCAACAGCACAAAACTAATACAATACAACATTAAAATTCATTACCGTTAATACGAACGCACACGCGTCTAAAAATTAAGGCGAATATCGCTTCGACATGCCAGCAAATTTAGCTTTGCAACTTGACAAGAGAAGGTTTTTGCACAGTGGGTAGAAAGCTTCTACATTGGGTGCAGTCAGATGTAAATCTGTGCCGAGTTGAGTTTACTATCTAAATCATGGAAAAATGCATTAGCATTGTCATTACGGTACTATATTACAGTATTTACTCAAGTAATAGCGATGAAGCATTGGACAATTTCAGACCCTCAAAAATTTTCCCGGTTTCTATCATACGATCGGAACAGTTTTCCTTCGAGTTCAATATTAAAGGGTACCTGAATCTTTCTTTTTCTTGCAACTAGGCGCCAAAGCATTGAAAATGTTGCGAACGATCCTTCGGATCACAGGGCCAGAAAGAAAAAACTATAGCTGTTTTTCAAATGCCTAATGAATCGTTTAAACGCGATCAATTATTTTTGGGTTAGTAAAAATTATTAAAAAGATGAACACACACACAAAAAAGAGCGATATTCTGATATACTGTACAAAGCCATCAAAAACTGTGGCAACAAAATGTTGAACCACAGAAACCAGTCCCCTATGTACAGTAAAACAAGCATAAATATCCAATCTGACAAGCCGGCTACGTCAACAACTCAAGTGCTTCTCACCAGAACTTCACTGATTCGTGCCTCAGGAATAGTATCTGTCACGAACAGAACCGAAAACAACCACACCTTAAGTAGTCTGAATTCAACACAGTTGATACTTCTAAAGAGTGAGTATCTCATCCAGATCAATCACAACACAGTTGAAATATCTCGGATATAACTCAATCCACTTCAGCATGCAATTATCAATTTTTAGGTGAATTCTATGCGAACAGATTTTGTAAACGAAAAATAAAAGAACGAATGGAGTAAATGAAGAAATATCTTACAGAGCTCATGTGATGCTTCAGATGGCGGCGAATCCAGATTAGGAGCTACGGAATCGGACTTGATCTCAGTTCGGGAAGAGAATGCAGCTCGCGTCTTCACTGGTAAAGCAGGTGGTGGAGGAGAATTTGACGTCACCACTTCAGCCTTTTGCAGTCCGCCTAATTATAGGAGAGAAAAATTATATAATACTGTACGCTTCGTGACTGGGCATCTGAAAGGTGCCCGATTTCTGCGCGCATTACCTATTTCCCCCTTTCACGAATCGACATTACCTATATCTACAGACGAGCAGTTCTGATGATCAAATTCATTGGTCAGTATTGTCTTGGCTCTTCCCTGTCCCAACATTTTAAAAATGATTATGACTTGCGAGCATGAATAATTAAAAACATTACACATGGGTCACAATAAAATCAATTATCCTTCCATCAACGCGTTACTTCAGATTCCATGGTATTTCATAATTCTCCGCAAGGGAATGCACCGTAGCACGGTGATACTTTCCACAAAGTGACAGAACCTGCTCTGGCCCAGCGCTGCAATTAAATTTTGCCAAGATTAGCAGCGATCTTCACCATATTTTCGCATCTAACTTCGCGTCAAAAAAGAAGCCTCAAATATCCTCAGAAGCGAATGTAATTTTATTAAAGGGAATTCCGTTCACAAAAGAATTCGAAAGAAATAGGGTTATTTTGATATACGATGAAGTGGAAAACCATCGAGAACTGCGTCCTGCACAAACTAGTCTGTCAGGTACAATATTTATATTGTACACGTGGACACTCTCAACAGAGTGCCCACTTTCTCTGCATGCCATGTTTTGGTCCCATAGGCCTAGGGTTCCTTCCCCATGTTATAGCATAGGGTTCTCTATAACGATTTGCTTTCTGGTCCTTTGACTTTTGTTGTAGAGACATTTCCCCTGCATATAAATTTACATTATATAGAAATAGAACACTTCAGTAGATTTTACTGCTCAAGAATACATTTTATCTGGTCCACAGTACTGGTTTCACTCTAAGTCTGTATTCGCACATACCATCAGTTTTAACGCCCCCATTTTTTGAAGCGTTAGTCGAAGTCATCCCAACCTCCGAATCATCAACTGTAACCCCTGTTTGCCCTCGAACTGGCAAAACTCGCGTTCCTTTCTCGAGCATGCTATTCCTCTTCAGGACAGTCGGCCTTCCTGGAATAGCAGGCTTTGGGCGAATAACCGGAAGCTCTGGAAACGAGTAAATACAAGTGATTGATTACTTGTTAGTTTGACTCATCAGGACAAGTTCAACTTTAAAGATTCTCATAGTTAAAACCTTGGACTAAAATTACACCATAGAAAATTGACGACTGTTGAAAGTTTTCCCAGCGAGAAAATTTGGAACTACTGTACGTTGAAAATAAAATTCTCAAGGAAAGTTTTAAATGAATTAACATGTACCGATGGGTCCAGAACTTTGCCGGACATGTTTTCGTTCAGCTGGAACAGGACGCTCTGCTGATTCCCACATTGAACAATTCGAAGCAGGCCTACTTTGACTGCTAATCGAAGAACTGCTGCTTAATACGGAATTCACTCTCTCCGGTAACTCGGGTTTCTGTTTAGCAATAATCGGTTTGCTTGTCGTCGCAGTGACAGGTGTATCCGCATCCGGTTTTGTCGCCTCCAACAACGCCTCAAATCCTAAAAAAATCGAATCAACGTCGATGATTTCGGAAGACAATCAAATTTCGACGAGTTCAAGACTTTTAAACTTGACAATTTCAAGAAGAAGATAATCAGTTGAAAAAGCTTCTCACGCATCGTTCTCAAATCCTCAATGAAAAGGGGCAAGTCTTCCACATAGCTAATAACGTCAACTCCTTCGATGTAAATCGGGAATCGAGTGAAAATACGCTATTAACACTGGTTCGAAGTGAAAGCTTATAAAACCTCTGTTTCCTTCGGTTTCGAAAGATTGAACCAATTTTTGATGGATTCCCATTAGTTTTCGATGATAATTCTTCCATAAAGCTATGTTTCCTGCTGTTTTCACATTAAACATTTTCTTTTAATTTTTTATCCACGATGGAAATAATTTCCCCCTGTTTCGAAAACAGAAAAACTCCTATAATTAACACTGTAACACACAGTTAAAATGATTACTCGTTAGTTTCAGTGAGACTCTCAGCTCACCGATATCATGACGTCGCATCTGCACGACAACCACATCATCATCTTCATCTTCAACACTCGACTCTAGCTTCTTCTCGTCTTCGCCGACAGCCGCCACTTCATTTCGCACGTGTTCAGCAGCAATATGCACTGGATCTTGTTTGGGACTCGGAGTGTCATTCGCAGCACTCGCTAAATGCTGCAAAGTGACAGGCGTCATCGCTGCGGAAGTCATTGCGGAAGTAATGGCTGCCACGGGCGAGTAAGTGGTTGCTGTTGCACCTGGCTTCGGAGGTGGAGGCTTTTGTGGCCTTGGTGGAACTGGCGCGTTTCTATTCTTCCTTCGCACACCTTGCCGAGGACTAGCTGGCGGCATCGTCGGACTAGGGTGAACACAAATAATGTCAAGACAATTTTTAGGCAAAAAATACAGTTCTCTGAACAACACGAACCTCTTTTTAAGTCAAATACACCCCTATATCGATTTTTTTTAAAGTCCCGGTCAGATTTTCCTTAGAAACAATGCATTGAGAACCTCCCTAACTCGAATGTTCTGGAGGCTTTTTGGGTATTATTTTAATGACACACTAGAAAACAGAAGAGCAATACAAATGTACAGTAACTTGATGTTTCTTGAAAGGAAGTGAAAGACTAATAGGACGAATAAACCCTGGCCTCAAAGTTCAACATCCCGTCAATACATTCAAGAGGCAATTTGAGGCCTAGAATATCACCAACTATAATTTTCTGCAATTCTTCTTGTTCGTATGACTGTACAGTATAACTCTTGAAAAAAATTGCAATCAACGGTTCCTAGCACGTTTCATATCGGTTTCGCCGAAAAAACCCAATGGGGTACGTTTTTAATGGGGTATGGTATAAAATACTTGACTGTTTTTTTCCCATGACAAGGAAAAATTAGTATACTAAGTATCTCCATCAGTCACAAACGCAATTACTGTATCCTTCTCGGAGTAATTTGAATTTCAAAAGAATCGGTGTTCCTCATCAAGTTTTACTACTGTGGCATAGTTCAACATGCAAGAGCATACCATGATCGATTCTTCTCCACTTTCAAGAAAATATATACAGTACTGTACTTCAACACAAATAATTTTTAAACCTCACAGCAAAATACCGGAAATGAATACTGTACAGGTAAAACTTCATCAGATCACAGATACATTCAAGAATCTTTCAACAAATTCGCAATACATTTAAAATTATGAAAAAATGTACTTGAAATATCTCGAGCTTATATTTCATCGCTGTCACGTGGATGTGTATACTCATACCCGAAACAATAAGGAGTCGGCTTCAAATAACTAACCTATGACTAGTACCCGAAGACTGAGTCGAATCGTCAACAACGCCTTCGTTGCTCACGTTACGCCTATGGCCAAGCGACTGAGAGCTTTCCTCTGCTTCCGACGAACATTCGTAATCGGGTAGATTGGTACGCTTGAAGTTTTCATCTGCAATTGACAAATTAAATTCAATCGGCCTCAGTAAAACATTGCGCAAATGACATACCACCGGGGAAGATTTCATTGCAATGCATCAGCATTGTGTCCACTACCGAGCAAACGATTCCATTTTCGTTCATGTTCATTCTATGGAAAAAAAAAACGGAGGTCACGATTTTGGAGTTGGGAAAAACATTTATAAAATTGCGCTTACGTCATGGTATTACTGGTTCCGTCTGAAGGGGACCACATCAGGTTCGGGGCCATGACGATCGCCACGTTTTGACTGCTCATTTTGTTCACCTCTTGACCTTGACAGAGGTGAGCGAGGAATTTCATCAGGTAACGCAAGTTCATTCTGTGAGATTCCGGCAGCCTTTCAACCAACTTCTTGATCTGCGCAACTTTCTCAGCTTCCTCTTTCACGCTGACACAAAAGGAGAACGAACACAGAGATTTATAAAACGCGAAATTACCGAACATTCGAGAAGATCCACTTACTCGAGAACTTTCAGCCAATCTCTGTACAAATTGTAGGTCATTAAAGGCTCTGGTAGCTCCCTCAGGTACGACTTCAACGCGGAGGCGAACACGTGTGGATCGTTAAGCTCTGGAATATCCGTCACGCTAATGTCTAAGGCGCTGCGGAGCCGTCGTACCTTCGAACTGCCTGTGAAGAAACACTTCATTTAGCCACATCAACGGAAGAATGCCTCATGGCATAAAACGGTGTCAATCTTGGAATAATTTGTTTCTTGGCTTCGCAATAGAAAAAATACAACACATCATTTTTTATCTATGACTTATACAGATTCCTTTACTCCTCGATTTCCTCAAATTGTGTTTTTTCTGCTATACAGATGTCGCCCGCATGAACTCTTCGTATGCTTTATTCTTAAATCAGAAACTTTACGTTGAGCTCTCCACGTTTCATCCGGCTATCGGAAGATATTTTAAGCCACGGAAGTCAGTTGAAGATCGCTAAAACTTGGTTAGGCTAAGAATATGAAAAAAATCAGATCAGATATTCAAGCGATATTCGTCAGAAAATTCTTGAAAAGAGGGTTTGTAGAGCATTTGAATAGAGAGGAATGTCAATTTTCGAATCGAAAGCACGGGTTTTTCGAAACACGGCACAGTATTACATACCTCGAACTACGAACCTAATTTCTACGAGGAATTGGTTCTTTGTATGCGTCATTAATTGCATTTGACATGGTTTTCCACATATATACACTCCCTCTACAACGAAATTCAAGGAACCAGGCAGACATTCATTTTAGAGAACCCAGATAGCATGGGGAGACCCCACATGGAACCAACAGAATAATCGTCATTCAGAGAAAATCATCGAAGAAAAAAACGTTGTGGAAAGTCCCCATGTGGTAGGAAAAACTGCTGAACAGTTCAATTCTACCATGAGCAATAGCTTTTATACATGTACCAATTTTTCAAAGACTCATTTGGGCGCCACTCATAAGATTCCCAAAATTTGAAAGTAAAAATTAACGAATACCTCACAAGAAAAAAGCTCTCGGCAGCATTACACAAATTTTACACGTTGAAATGAGATAACATGGAATTTTTTGTTCATCGAAAAGAAGCCGTTCGTTCCTACTTTGTCCTTCATCGGAGTAACGCGGGGCTTTATACTGTACTATGCAACACTTCAGGTGTGTATTGTATCGAAAGCGTAGATAAAGACATTCCTCGGCAATCACTTACTCCCAGCGATTCTGAAGAGACCTTCTTCTTTCATGGCGTTTCTCAGCAAGGCACGGACACAAAATTCGAGCGGAAGAGCAATTTCCCGACCCGTAACACGCAAGTGCTCGTTCAACGACGTGCCCCAAGCGCGCTGACTAGGATTCTCTTCTGAAATACAAAACGTTGCATTGATCCACAATCATTAGCCTGGCTACGTACTGAAGGCAATTAATGTCCCTTACTGATGCTGGATTCAAGTTCCGGAAGCATATCTTGCAACGATCGCAAAGACATTTCGTGATACTTCTTCTGCTCCCTGGACAACTGGATTATCAATTGAGCAACTTCAGATTCTCTCGCTAGCATTTCGTACATATCACCAGCAAACGAATCCTGAAAAACACCGGTCATATTTTTTAAAAAATTCGAATAATATTCCGAATCACCCACAGTGGGGAATAATCGCATCGTCTAACGGCGAATCAACTCCGAAAAATAAAATCAGCAAGATTTGTAAAGCATCTATAGTCCCGTAAATCGTTCGATTGGAAATGATTCGATACAGCAGCATCCACGTACGAAGCTCGATTTCCAAGCAGAAACTTCCGTGTCGATTTAAAGAAAAAAAAAAAAAAAACCGTGGA